AAGTTTACAAAACTAAACATCCTACAGTATTTTTACAGTCTTTATTTTACAGTTAAAATAAATGTTTATCAAATAAAGTCTAATGTTACAACTAATCGTACATCAGTTATTTATAAACAATATAAAGGCACAGCTGCAGTAATTTGACTAAAATGAACTATTTTGAAAAGAATAAAAATGAAAAGGTTTTGATAAAGTAAATTAACACACAGTCTACAGAAGTTAGTTTTTTATAAAAACAACAGAAAAATAAACAACGCCAAACTGAATTTATTAGATCAGAAGGTTTTATTTGATGCTACCTGATGATAGCCGCCGTGCTAACGCTGTAAACGAACGTGTTTCCACACAGACAACGGTCCGGCCGGCAGCCGAAGGACCGGGACCGCCACCGTCTTCGTGGAGGTGCTGGACGTCAACGACAACAAGCCCATCTTCTTCCAGAACAGCTACGAGACCAGCGTGCTGGAGACGGTGCCGCAAGGAACCAGCATCCTTCAGGTCCGAACGGGCTCGCCGTCAGTCTGAAACTTATCATTTTTAGCTTTTCCTTTTTGAAGACCTGGACTCAGGTTTTTAGATTCCACCTTTAAGGCTTAATTCAATGGTTACAGGAAGTTCTGCTGCTGTGATCCTTTTATTTGTTTAACGTTTTCTGTAGTAATCTGAAGGAATCGAGTAAAAATGGTTCAATGATGTCATGATGTTTATGGATTTTGGGTTAAAAAGTGAAACTTATAGATTTACCAGATTTACCAAAACCTCTTCACTTCCTCGTGTCTCAGTTTAGGTTTGTGTCCTGGAAGGTGGGGGGCACCGTGCAGACCTGCCATCTTTGTACAAATCCTTAATTATAAAGTTTCTTGTTTCAAAAAGGGGCGGGGTCAGATTTCAGTGACGTAGTCCAGGAGGCAGGGCGTGGTGAGCTGCAGCTCCACGCCAGCCTCCGGCTGCGGCGTCTCTGAGCCTGTGGACCTGGTGGTCCTGGTCTGCTGGCGGGGTCTGCGTTGAGGCGGTCGTCTGAACGAGGYGTTGTAGGAGCGCCGGTACGAGCCCAGCCTCTTCCACACCTTGAGCTGAGGCTCGGTGGACGAGCCCCCCCTACGAGGCAGACCCTCCCCAGGGACGCAGCTGGTCTCTGAGACCCTGTCCTGCTCCAAGCGCCGCCGCACCGCCAGGAGGACCGCCAACAATGCCAGCATCAGAGATAAGCCCAGCACCACCATGATGGTGAACTCCGGGTCGTGGAGGGTTGACGGGTGGGCCGGAGGACCAGGGATGCTGGGCGGGGGGATGGTCAGGCTGGACAGGGTGGTGTTGGCTCCGTCAGGGACGAGGGTGGTGTTTGTGTCTGGATGAGTGGCGTTCATGTTGTCACGACCCTGGATGGAGGAAACATGAGTTAGCCGGTTCAGGCCCAGATCATGTGTGGATGTGTAAAGTGCCGAGATGAAGTTAAAATTCTGATGATATGATAACCTCTTTTCAGYTTTCTTCTGATAGACTCTAAGAGAAATCACTGCAAAACATTTATGATGATTAATTAACATTTCTGTTTTATAATCAGGTCTGAACCTTCTGTTAGTCCAGATAAATGAAAGATTTTCTCAGGAAAAATCCACAATTATATTACTGTGTTCACAGTAAAATAAAAACAGTGATTTACATAAAACACAATGAAAGCATTGTAATGAGATTCTCTGTGATTTTTTTATACCATTATTAATCTTTAAGGCACGATAAAAGAAAAGAAGTGGTTCCACTTTTCTTGTGACAGGCATTATCATGATTTAACAAATGCATAAACATTCTTAGTTAAACAACAAATGAATCACGAACAGAAGAGATTGTTCTGTCCATTATCTGATTAAGAGAACTGAGGGGTTCTCTTCCACGGTTAGAATGACCTGTCATGGCCTAAATAGAGTTCAGTTTGTGACAGAGTTCCTGTCCTCACATCAGGCCTGTCCGAGGCCTGCTTCGAGGCAGTWAATCTTGTTTCTTCACTCAAGGTGACCCCTACAAGTGCTTTAAATTCTTTTTTTGTTTGTTTGTTTGTTTGTTTTTGCTCAGGGTTCCTGCGAATCCTTAAAAATTCTTGAAAGGCATCAGTTTCATCAATCCAAAAATAAGGCCTTAAAAAGTCTTAAATCGGTCTTTCAGACGTCTTAAAATGTTAACACTTTGGATGGTAGGATGATTGTAATTTGTCTCAATATGAAAATAATTGGTAACATTTAAGGTTTATTTTGTAAAACAACTTACCGAATGTTTCTCGCAGCTTGTTGTTTTGTGCTAAAATAAACATTTAGGTAAAACTGTAACTACTTTTTTTTTTCAGCTGTGTTTTATGTGAAGTTGGTTTTATTTTATTTCAAGTTGCATTTAAAAAGTCTTAAATGTAAATTGCCTTAAACCTCACACTTTTCAAAATATTTTACGTTATTTACCCCATTAAAAACTACTACCTCTGCTACTTTTACCTTTTAGCCAACCTGTTCAATTTTTAGCTTCTACCTAATTATTTTGCTACTTTAAATTTTTGGTAGCCTTTCGATACGTTTTTGCTGTCCATTTGCTGCTCGAATTTAGCTAAATTTTGCATTTAGCTACACTGCAAACATTAGCCATTGAAAATTTAGTAAAACAAAAAAATATTAGATTATAATCTGAATCTTCTCAGATTGAGTGAAATAATCTTCCAGTGCAGTGAAATAGTTGCACTTGGTTAGGTCTGTCAAAATGACAAGTTTTGCTGGTTTATAGATCAGAAATTATCACAATAAAGCCGCTTATGAAATTTACAGAAGTTTATGAAATTTACAGAAGTTTATGAAATTTACAAAAGTTTATGAAATTTACAGAAGTTTATGAAATTTACAGAAGTTTATGAAATTTACAGAAGTTTATGAAATTTACAGAAGTTTATGAAATTTGCATATTGTAAATTGTTTTCAGTAATTTATTTATTGCTCATCACGACAGACCTACACTTTGTAAGACTTCTTGAAATAATGAAAATTTGCAGACTAATGAAATTAATTATCACATTATGTTGTTGTTTAGTAAATCAGTCTCAAAACAAGATAAAAAGTACTTTTTTTAAAGATTGCAAAACTTGGTTGGATGGACAGTTTTAGCTGGTATTCAGCTTAATTTAGCTTGAACTCAGTTTCAGCTTCTTCAGTTAACTCCATCAGAATTCTTCATGACTCAGTATTTTTTTCTTGATATTTATTTATTATGAAATGAAACAGCTGATGGTTTCCACATGCAGAAATCAGTGGAAACTGGTGCGTTGAGCAGCGAGTGTGTGTGAGTGTTTGGCATTTTCACCAATTATGTAGCCATTAAATGAAGGAGCACAAAACAGCCGATGCTTGACGAGCTTTCTTCAGTGTAAAACAAATTGGGTTTATGAAAATGCCCCCTTGTAACACGCAAAGCGCCCACCCCCTCCGAAACCCCCGCCTCCAATTATCCCCCCCTCATTCTGCACGTCCCCATCTTCAGCACGGTAACATTTGTAAATGTCATCGTCCCTAATTCAGCTGAGACAAAGCTCGGCTTATCGGTTTAAGGGAAACACATTGGGACGTGAAATTATTTTTAAGAGCAAATGCCAGGAAAGCTGTGAAAAGGCCAGTGGAGCGGGATGACTCGTTCCACAGTCGCTTCATTAGTCAGCTGCTCCCAACTGCAACAAAACACGTTCACTTTGTGTTTCTTCGAGCTTTCTCACCTGCTCATATTTGTCATTAAACTGTTGTTTTTACAGACAAAACTTCTACACCTGTGTAATAACTCTAAATTATAAACTTATGTTTGTCACTGCCGTACAAAACAAATAATCATCTGTTAGCAAAATTTCTCATGAACGACAGAGTGGATTGTAATAAAACTATTTATCTTTGGAAGTTACTTTGATTCAAGATGGAGCAGAAGAAATGAGCGCTGGAAGAAACAGAATGGAGGAAACAGTTATATCAAGGCTCAGATTAAGACACACTGGATTAAACAAAACATTATTTATAACAGAAAACATAATACAGGAAAATGTGAGTACTGTGGAGGAGACGAGGACATAGAACATGTATTAATACATTGTCAAAAATACAGAAATGAAAGAAATCAACTAAAAGACTCACTTAAATTAATATAAGATTAGATGTTATAGAATTATTACAGAACACTAAAATCTGAAAGTACCCAAGCCTTAATACAATACTTGAAACAAACTCGATTATTTGAAAGAATAAAGTTTTTTTGCGCTGGTCCTGTCCACACTCCACACCAGTAGGGGGCAGTAATGCGCCTCTCAGTTGTTTGCCAACCGCCAAAAAAGAATCCAAGAAGAAGAAGATTCAAGATGGCCGCCACAGCTAGTCGATTGCTGTGTCCAAAACGACAGGCCGGGTCCTCYGGAGGACCCAGACTCCCCGGTCGYGGCGGGCCKGGTCCTTGGTAGACCGGGAAGACCGGAAAAAAAGAGGCTGTGAATTTGGACGGTCTAGCCTCCCCTCCTTACCCCRGCGTACRTCATGTCACCTAGCAACTGTGACGACGCTAAACAAGCAAACTTAAATCAAAACTGGAAAAATATCAATACATTAGCATTATAAATATCACAAAACTATAAAATTAACTTAAAGGTAACATTTGAAGAACTAATTGACCCGCTGTAGGTTCATGTTTATTTCGCGTTTTTTTATGACAAAAATAATATTTAAAAACATGTCCATACAAATGATAAAAGTATTAGAATTACAACCGCTAATTTATTTTAATTTTTATATCGCCATATTTTTATTTAAAACGTATTCTTTTCTCTCGCTTCGTCCACCATTACTAGCATAAAAAAATCTCCGGTCGGGCAGCAATGCATTATGGGATACGCTGGGCCAGGAAGGATCCATCAGACCTGTCCTTCGATTCGGACCAAAGGAAGGACGTATTTGTCGGCCGCATCAGAGGAGTCTTCGGTTTGGGACGTCCTTCGTCGCGGCGCTGTGACGTATGCAGCCGACAAATTCGACCTTCGGAGGACCCGTCCTGTCGTTTTGGACACAGCCGATATAAACAGCTCAGAAAGGGTTAAAACTCATTTCCTGATATTAAACCACAGTTTGGCGTGGTAGTTGCTGAGAGTCATCACCAACCAGAGGTGTAAAGTAAAGTACTACTTTACTTTGTTACAGAATAGTTTGAAGATCTGTAATTTTTACCAAGAATTTATTTGAATCGTAACTTTGACTTTTATTTTAATACATTCAAAACATAAAAATGTTACGTTTACTTCTTTACTTTTAAAATGTAACTAAATTTAAATGTGACTGAACTCATTCTGAAGGAAAAAACGTGTTGAATTTACTAAATTTAAAAGTAAAGTAAACATACATTAACCCCTTCAAATATTTACCTGTGAAATGAGCCTCAAAAATTCATAATTTTCTCAAAAAGATGTATTACTTACACACTATGATTTTTTACTGATCATTTTCAGATAAGGTGTTTTTATTTATATTTAGTTATATTTTTTCAAGAACACTGAAAAAAACAGGTCGTTGGATTTAATTAACCAAGTTATGTCAACAATTTCCACTTAACTAAGTCCAGTAAATGTAAAGCCACTTTCGTATTTCCATTTAAAGAAGCTGAAAGTTTCAGCTTAGTTAAGTAATTGTTGACATAACTTGGTTAATTAAAACAATCAGTTTTTTTAGTGTATTTTATGCTCCTCTGTCACAAACACATCTGAGTTCCAACAAATTGTACAAAATCTTTGTTTAAAACTTGTAAATGAACGAATCCTCAGTTCGTCTTCTAGTTTTACGAACTTTAAATTTTTCCTGAATTAATATTTTTCTGTCCTTTTTGAGTCGTAAACCCGTTGGGAGAAAATACAAATACAGTAACACTCGTGCGGTTCACGCTCTCCAAAATAAAAGCCAAACTGAAATGGTACCAAAGCAAACGAGCCCAGCAGACATTTGCATCAAACTCCTCCTCAGGGATTCTACAGATCTGTTTGTAAAGTCCTGAGCAGATAAAACTTTAAATATATATATATTATATATTTATATGTATACTCACACTGAAGCCTCTTTAAAGCAGCACTTTAGTTCCAGTGAGCTGTTAGGTGGATTTACACACTTGTTTTTCTGCGTAAACTGCTTCTTTCCCAGAAACAGAAAGCGGGGGGACGGTGGGGGGAGAAGAGGGGGAGCGAGGAAGATGAGGGGTAACATGTGGGTAACGTCACGCAGGCTGTGAGTTCTCTCTGACCTTCCTGTAAAAACCAGGTAAAGGAAGAAGCAGTTTTCAGACGTTTAAAGTAAAATCTGTTTGCTGAAAGTCCTCAGTTCAACATGTAAACGATGAGGCTCTGCAGCAAACTGCGGCTCTTTTTACCCCCCAGTTTATGGCTTAAGTGGTTCATTCCACTGTGTAATACCCTATTCATCACTCACCAATCTGACCCCCCAGCGTCGTTCTCCTCCCCTCTCCTCCTCCTTTCTCCTCTCCTCTCCACATCTCTTTATAAAGCTAATGAGACTGAAGTTTGGGGCCCTCTTTGCTCAGAGAGAGAGGGGGGGGAGAGAGGGAGCAGAGGAGGACACAGATCTGACGCCTCCCCACAAAGCTAGTTGGCGGCCATTTTGAGGGACTGACTTGTGATTGTTTTGTTTTGTGCACCAGGTTGGATTTATTATTGTTTATTTAACTCTTGGTTTGTCAAACACCTGTTGGAGTTGGGGTAATTCTGCTGCTAGAGCCGTTTCTTAGGATTTAGGTCAAAAATGGTGACCTCTCAGGATCCCGCAGGAATAAACAATAAATCCATGAATCACGTGTTAAATTAGAACGAGGAAATGAGGTGACGTTTGTAAMGTTACACAGTTAAAAATTACCACCAGTATTTTTGTTTTATTTAACCTTTCATAAGAAAAAAACAGAACAGATTTATTTTTCAAAGTCAGTTTTTCACCATATGATTCATACATTTATAA